GCAGGAGGCAGACCTGAACTATGTCCAGGTCTGATAATGTATGAAAAACAGGATTTAATATGATAAATTTGAACTTTTTTACAAAGTTTTAATATGCCCTATAAAATTCAGAGTATCATTCATGCCATGGTGTTTATAAGATGATATTAAATCAATATACAATTTTAGGCAGTGAGCGGATTTCTTTTCTATTAGCAAATAATATACTGTAACTTTAGTTTTAACTGCACTCAGTATTAACCCATGTTCTTTAAATAAAGATTGAATGGTTTCAAAGGAAGCTCACAGATGTTGAAAAACTGAATCTATGGATTTTGGATGACAGTACATCACATACAGGTAATCATAATCATAGAGAGGCACAGCTGTATCTTTGTGACGCTGTCCCAGTGTGTTTGTATAAATGGTGAATAGGGTAAGCTCTAAAACAGCCTTGAGCTACTCCTTTTGTAACATCCAAAAAAGTTGATGTTAGACAACCAAGTTTGAGCCCAGTGAAATAGTTTAAAAAACAAGGTGTGGTCTGATCTGGGAATCCCATGTCCAAAAGCATCTGACATGATATTTTAAGGTCAACCTTGTTAAAAGCTTTTGACAGGTTCAAAATGAGTGCAGCACAGTAATCTCTTGAATTAAGTGCCTTAAATACATCATTGACAACCTTCGTAGTTGCAGAGACTGTCCCATGATTTTTTCTAATTGTTGTTGGAACATTTTAGAGTTAATTTTACTTATTTGCAATTCATGTCCAACAATCATTAGTTGAAAGCTGCTTTTTGGTTTACACAGGTTATGTTGTTGTCTGGAATTGACGTATAAAGATTCTAAAAAAAAAAATTAAGTGAGATAAAAAAGAAAAACGGAAAGAAGGGTAATAAAGACTTAAACAACACCGTACAACCTCTAGCTGTGCAGGAGCTGGCAACCCAGCCATTTATCTGGAACTGTTTAATGCATAATTTGTCTAACAATCATGTAAGTAAGTTTATTTTGCAGATGATTAGGGCCTTTGTTGCATCGATGGCCCAGATAAGCCAAAGTTCCGAACCATTAACCGGTCTCGCTTGTTCTGGCAAATGCCAGAAAGAAGTTTATTGTGCAGACAACACTGAAAGAGTCCTGAAAGCAAGAAAAAACAAGGACTTGACAGGGGACTTAAATTATAATACTGTCGGTCCATATTAATATCCAACAAATATAATTTTATCATTGTTAAATATTTTAGCATGGAATGTACTAACTGATCAAACACATCCAAAACTCACATATATGAAAATAAGTCACTGTATTTAAAGCATATATAAAGCAAATTTCCATGCCTAATCCAAGCTGCCTGAGCAGGGTAATGCTGTACAACCTATGAAGTGGAACATCGGCTCAGAATGTCGGGGCTCTACTGTAAGCAGGAATAATTACAGTTCAGACTGTGGAAATCCCCTGGCTGATGCAGACACATTTGTCTTCTAAGCTGACCCAGGAACTGGCTGGGGTACTAATCAGGGCACTTGGCAGAAAGCCACATTTTTCCATAGATCCTCAGAGAAAGTCTTTACCCTGAAGAGGCAGGTAGTCACAGCAAAAGCACAACCCACCCAGGCTGATAAAAACACAACAGCCCTGTCAACCCCTGGACATCATTTCTGTCCCTGTGATAGAAACAGATGACCCTGTGTCACCCTGCCTGTTTGTCCCACCACCTGTTAGGAAGCTCACATGAGTGGTGGATGTCATTATGCTCTCACCCTGGGGTCGGTGGCAGAAAGTGGGCTCCACTACGACATGGTACAAATCCATTTATGTCTCAACTGTTATGACAGGAATTTACAAAGTAGGTACCAAACCCAAATTATTCACTATTCAGCCATTTTTAAAAATAGCTCTATTCAAACCTACATAGGTACTAAATCAAAATTCCCACACAGCTCCAATGTTGAACTTTATGGTTTTCACTACTGCTTCCTGTGCTGAAGTTCTGACGCATGCTGTGGTGTTTTCCATAGTTAGATCTTTTCCTGTGGACAATTTGTCATGTTCAGAGGGGGCTAATTAGATCCATCTAATGCCACAGCAGACATAATAACACATACAACTGCTCCAACAGCTTCATCAGGAGCTGCTAATCATTTCAAGTGTACATGGTTCAAAGAACAGAATAAAATCATTGACATTCAATTCAATAAAAAAAGGTTGTTTTTTGTCAGTGGCAATAGCCGGAATAATCTTTTTTAGTTGTCCTCCTTGATACACTTGGTGCAGTTAATGGTATTAAGCAATGGTTCTGTAACAACTACACCTATGTTAATTCTATAAAAAAAAAAAAAACATTAATCATTGAACCTGAGAATGAAAAAACTGAAATTAAGTCATTTCTGCATGTATTAGTCTCCTTTGTCAAACCAAGCCTAGACATAATTTTTGAGTCTGTCACTTAAGTGTGTAACTCTCTTGACAGTCGCACTCACAAAGTTTTCTCTGTGCTCAGGCTGAATTATTATAAACTTTCTCTACACATAAAGTAGGGGTCATTTAAATAACTTTCCAATATAGGCACTCTCACCCAGTCACACTCACCAAAGCATTTACTCCTGTACCTAAACTCAGTTAGGTGAGGGATAACTTGGAGGTCAGTGCTCGGTCACACATCAATATATGACTGGGGTAAGCTAAAATGGAACTCACAATCAACCATTTGCAAGGTACCTGCTCTATTCTTCCCCACATTAACCAAGGGAAATACATAAAACAGCTAGCCTAAAAGTATGTTAAAAGGTGAAAATGGTCATGCTTATGGTGAAAATGGTGAGCAGCAGGAAATTGGATTAACCCTAAAGCCAGAGAGATGGCTTTCCAGTCTGAACCTGGAGGAACTGTTCAGCTCTTTACAGCTAATCTAAATGGTGCAGCACTGCACCTAAACCTCTAGTGTGTCTCCTTAATGTGATTTACTTGAAGTTGACTTAAGCCTGGTTTATGTTCAGAAACCACATCGCCTTTGTGTGTAGCAGTTAACGCAGATATTAAAATTTCAGGTGACCGCAGACATTGCTGCAGATTATGTCAAAGGGAGAAAAGAAAGGAGGCCTCTGATTGGTCAATTCTACTTCCGCTCTACACTATGCATATTTTCTGTTTGGTACCTAATGGCAGAAACTCTGGCTGTAGTGAAATCCACAACGCCTGGCACACATCCGACACTATCCCAGACACCATACACAATGCTGGTTTGTAGTTCTGTGCGACGTTCTGTTGGTTTGCACCAAAAGCTAAAACATGCAGCGCCATGGCCAGTCTTTCAGGAACAATCACAGGTGAACTGTCTGTCTTCTGGCGTTGGATGAGGGGTTGTAGATGGCCAACAAGCTCGTCAAACTGACACACGGAAACTCACAATCTTAGCTTGTTTGTGATTGTCCCTCTAGCGTTATGGTGTGGAATAACATAGCGCAGACCATGGTTCAAAATTGGGCATAAAGCAAAAATATCTGCGTCATACCTGTGACAAGATAACTGCAAACACTGCTGCATACACAGCCCTTGATGCTTGTCACATTTTTGCTCCATGCAGAATGTTGCAGACACAGCTTTTGCAACATTTAATATTTCTTGCGGCTTTTTCCTAACCTGGCATAAACCAGATTACATTTGTAGTTCAATTTGAATTCTCCACAGTATCAATCTAAGGAGGCTCCTGTGGACTGTATTTGCAAGAGGGCAGTACATTCATAATCATAAAATCGATATTAATATTATCCATAATGTTCATAATAGTATTCGTAACATTCATAATTCATACTTTGAGCTGACTCAGTAAGTCAACCATTGGCAGATGCCTATATCTTGAGCTTTCAGCCAATCACAACATCAGTAGCAGATGTGACATCACATTCTTGATTTGTTTCAAAACTAGCGATTTCAATGATTAATTGAACTCTTAACAAATGCAGTCAGGATGAGAGCGCAAATATCTTTCCCATCCACAAAGGCAAAAATCACGTCCTTCTGCTCTTTTTTCAAAAAGAAATACAGGCTATGCCAGCTAAAACAGCCATCTTTGTTTTCCTTCAGCTTTTTACTTGTGGGCGACAAAGTGACGTGACACATGTCACTGCATTTCATTGGTCCGAAACATTTCTGTATCAAGGCTAATGCATGTGTTGGCTTTGGAGAGATGTATATTCAGGAGCTTGTGAATTCACAAATCTCCAGACAATTCAACTTCCTTACAAGGCATACTGTGCCCATTATTCTCGTAGTGTTTGGGGGACAGTGTAAAGCACAGACTGGTGAGCTTACAAAATTACACTACATCTTAGAGACATCACGGTACAAATAGAAAACACAGTTGTTTTCAACATCTTAATAACACTTTATGTCATCCAAGAATGACAATCTTTTTCTCTCAAGAGCGGTGTATAATTTGTTAAACCTGGAAAAGTTTTTTTTAGCCAAATTGTAAAATATCTGTAAATATTTTTATCCGGGAATCCACTTCAGTGGGAGCTGTTACTTTTCCGTCATGTCTCTGGAGCTAAAAATGTTTCTAGGCAAGATTCAAGCCACATTATGGGGATTTGTTTACTAAAATCATGTAATTTGCCCTTGCTGCCCTGTGTGGACCTTGCACACATATCAAGCACAAATCAGCCTTTAGATGCAGGCTGAGAGCTATGGTGCGCTGCCATTGCTACAAACACCAGAAATGTACACTGAGTGCAGTTTTTGAAATAGGAGGACTGCTCCAACTATTGGGGCCAGACATGAACTGCTGGGGGTGGAAATAAGACATGAGCTGCGCAATCAATGGGCTTCATTGCCAGAGAGAGCCTGAGAATTCAGTAAACCTCTCCCTCAGCAAAGATTCAGAGCAGAGCAAGATACACATTTAACAGGGACGTTTTGCAGTTCTAGGTCTTAAAATCCCCCAAATACATTAGAAAACTTATTAGAACGTAAATGTTTGTTGAACCAACACACAGTTAAGGCTCAGCCCTCTGACTTACCTTTGATTTGTTTTTACAGTTGACATCAGATCTTTGCTGCTCAGCTCATCAATTTGTACACATGTAAAGTTGTCCAGAACCCTGATCCAGATTTTCTGGTGCTTTTTTTTTTATCTACTTTGCCTTGTATCCTTTTCTTTTCAGAGACAAATTTTGAGCAGTATGGAGCATCCATTTTCCCATAGCTGAAAAAAAACAACAACAGAGAGTATTGTTAGGAGTGAGGATGGGAAATCTGGAAAAAGTAATCTCTATTTATAAAAACTGAAATGTTTCTTTAAATATATACACTTTTTCGGAAACCGATTTCTGTTAAACCTCATATGTTAATCTCAACTCATCACTACTAATACTCCTGCCAGGCTTACTGCTAATATCTACACTAACACACTTCAGATGAATGCAAGCTGATGGAATGGGCAGCATGTATCTGTCTAGAGCCAGTATCTGCCTGAATCGGGTCAACCAAATGTCTGGCCTAGAACCTAATGTGTTCTCACTAAGAACAATCTAAATACAAAAAGCAGAAATATGAACAATAACATGCAGATACTGATATCCACACAATGAGGCAGATGTATGCTTGCAGGAAACCTCAACCTAACGGACAATGTTTGTGGTGTGAGTCATCCTGGGATATTCTGACTACGTGGTTAATTCAAAGCTCTCCTTTACCTCCCCTCTCATCACAGCTTGGTATTCACCACAACCTCTCACAGTCAAAGCCAGCTCCTCTGTCTGTGACAGCATTTACCAGTTTGTGTTGTGTACCTGCAGAGAAAAAGGTTCTTCTTCCTGATTTAAAACTACAGATGGCCTTAGGATGAAGTTGGGTCAATGCACAATGTCTTTATAGGCCAGTCACAACAGGCAAATTCAAAGGTTTTCCTAACAAATTTGACTGACTCATCTTTCTAAAACAAAGCATGGGTGCTGATGTGGGGAAGAACAGTGAAGTGACAAAGATGGTTAAGGCTGAAACATGCCTTTGCATCAGTTTGAAGCTACATCCACATCGAACAAAGCTAAATACAGATATTTTCAGAGAAAGTGCAATGACGAAATTGCCTGAAGTTAGAAAAGAGTTGTAGTACGCATGCCATGCCAGTGGGTGTCGCGGTACTGCGACAACCGAAGCAAGGAAGGTATAGATCACATTGTGCACGTGCGGGAAACTGGTGTAGGAAGAACAACAAGAAGAAGGAGAATAGTGACTGCAGTTACTGCTGAAGTAAGAAGCTTTTATTTGGGCTGACGACAGGGTGGAACTTGTCCTACCAGGAAAGGACAAAACAATGGTTATCCCACAGCAGAAATAAGCTTTAGGTAGGAAAATGACTTCATATTGAATCCTCATCACCATCATCATCATCATGATCAATGTAAGTAGTCTATGTAAACCAAAAAGATTAGAATTATTAAATTACTGTAGATTGGGAGTGCTTCGATGGTGCAGTGTTTAGCGTGCATGACCAATGTACAGAGGAGTTAGTCGTCCGCTCAACCGACCCGGGCTTTAATCCTACCTGTGGTCCTTTGCCGCATGTCTCTCCCCCTCTCTAATATCCCCTTTCCTTTCAGCCTATTGTCGAAAAAACGAGCCACTAGTGGTGTAAAAAAAAAAATTAATACAGTACATTGTCAGTGATGTTGTATACTATTTAGTTCAAACAATAAAACTCTTTTTTTATGAAAGAACTCTTTTACTGAAAAAAAGAACACCCTGTTTTTCTGTTTCATTCAAGGAACAACTGCAAAGCCATAGAAGGCACAGGCTTAACCAAAAACTTCATAGGGACTGTGCAGCACACAAGCAGCTTCAAGTTAAGATGACGATGCTGGAGTTGATGGAGGACAATGAGACACTGTGCAGACATAATGCATTTAATAGGCACCAATACTGCAGGCATGAGGGAAGCAATGAATGATACAGTAGCAATTCACCGCTATGGGCTTTAGTTTAGTCTGCACTGCAATGTACCAGTGAGGCATACATACTGAGTGGTACAGCCCAGGTCCTACTACAACTTTGTAAACTTTTAATCGTATACTTTTGCTGTTGACTGGACTGGACCGGGCATTGGAACCAAGCCGTGAGCTACGGGGCTGGTCCAAGAACCCCTGTGGATGGGGACAGACTGCCAAACCCGACCCGGTGGCGGTAGCTTGGACATGAGCTTTGGGTGGAGCTACCCTATTCTTTCTTTGACTAACAATGGCAGCTATATTTGCTGTGATCAGTGGGTAAAAAGTAGTTTGAATCTATTTTGAAGTGAGAAAGTCAACCTGAAAACACCATCAGTGCAGTCAGTTAATCCAGATTACAGTTCTGCCTGCAAATATAATTTTTGTCGGAGCCACTCAGACCCCCGTACGCGGGCAGTGCGCTGTCACTAGTAGGAATCCCATTCAACAACAGCCATGGCCCGGTCGTCTATTCGTGGTTTGCCACGGCAGCTTGAATTCATGTACGTAATCCAAACTGCAGGCACCAAGATAACAAAAGCTAACGTTTTGCTGGCAGAGTTTGGCATCTTAAGTTAATTTAGGCGTTAATAAACTGTTTCAGAGGAGTGATCATAGCGCTCTGAATCGCTGCATCAGCGCTGCAGACAGCATGCACTCATGTATTTTGAAGGCGTGGTTTTGAGGCATGTTCTGAAGGGAGAGGCATGGTTGTGTATATTCAAAAAAATAGCTTGCTGGAACAGTTTTTCCAAGATCTCCTACTGCGCCTTTAAAGGCTGCATAAGTCGCAACTGGATGGTTTTGACAAAAAAAATCACTCACAAATGTGTAATTTTTTCAATCTTTTATTTAAACAAGCTTAACCAAGTAAACTTGTGCTGTTTGATGTTTCCCGATACTTCACAGTATTATTTACTACTGAAAATATAATAGTTAGATCATTATGGCCCCATCATAGATATCTTCTCAGTGCATATTGGACTCCAGTAGGGACTGATCTCTGTCACTGTTCCTGTTCATAACCTTCATGGACAGGACAACTAGGCTAGGGACCAGAAGGGGTCTGGATTGGGGGCCAGGGGATTTTGCCATTTCTTTGGTGGATGACATGGTCTGCTGACTCCCTCCTTCCAAGACCTACAGCATGAACTGAGGAGATTACAGTTTTTTGGGAAACAGCTGGGATCAGCCATCTTCCGAGTCTGAGGCCATGATGCTTAACCGGGAAAAGATGGTGTATCCCCTTTATGTTTGAGGGGAGTCGCTACCTCAATTGAAAAAGTTCAAATATCTCTGGTTGTTGTCCATGAGTGAGGGGAGCGAGATATCGATAGAGAGATCAGTGGGGCTGCTGCTAAAATGCGAACACGGCGCTGTCCGTAGTGGTGAAGAGAGCTGAGTCACAACTCCATTTATTGGTTGATCTATGTCCTACCCTCACTTACTGTCATGAAATCTATATCATTACCAAAAGAATGAGATCCTAGATATAAGCGGCTGGGATTAGCTCTTTTTGCAGGGTGGTTGGGCACTTCCATAAGAGATAGGTTGTGGATCTCATCTGAGAGTAGAGAGGCTTCTCCTCCACATCGAGAGAAGTCAGCTGAGGTTTCTCAACTGACTCCTCAGGCATATTCCACCAGAAGGAGGCCCAGTGGATGGCCCAGAACAAAGAGGAAGGGACTATGTCCCTGTGCTAGCCAGAGAATACATCAGGCCTCCCCCCAGGAAAGCTGCAGGAGCTGCCTGGGGAGCTGGGGAGAGGGAAGGCTTGGAGTCCCAGCGGAGAATGCTGTGACATGGATAAACTGAGGATGATGAGTATGACTATGAATGATAAGATCACAAGGGTTCATTTTTAATCTTTGAAATAATGACAAAATCAAAAAACACTGATAACACCATAATGATCAGACTACATCACCTCCACACATCACTCATCACAGCACCGCTATAGGACTACATCATATGTTCCTGGGTTTATACTAGAGTTAAACAATATTTTAAAATGCATGTTTTTGTGAAAAACAACTAATGATTATGCTTGCAATGGCAGCGGCTCACGAGCACCCAACTGATGCACTAGTCTTCCACAGTAGAGATGCTGACAGTAAAAATGTAATCATATGGATGTTTTTTAAAGCTTCAGAACTGTTCTTTGAAATTGCTGTCCAGGACATGAAGGGAAAACTGCATAGTGTCTGTAAGTAGCTCTAGTGAAAAAAAATATCTGTATCAGTTATCAATGCATTGTATTGTAAATATTGGCATATCGGATAGTGACAACAAATTGCTCTTTTATTGGTCTTTCCTGTCCAGATTTTCCTGTCCGATTTTCAGAACAATATCAGAATGCTATTTCCCATACAGTAGGCATGTTTTTATGTATGAACTCCTTACCTTATTAGCAAGATGAATTTTCACGAGGTTTGTAAAATCACAAACTCCCGAAAATACATCTAGCCAGAAGCCAACAGATGCACTGGCCTTGATAAAGAATCTTTCAGATCAAGAAAACGCAGTGACGTGTATAACGTCAACATATCATCCAGAAGTGACCAAAGCAAAACAAACATGGCTGCCCCGGTTTCAGCTGGAATGATCTCTATTTCATTTTAGAAATTCTCCAAAAGTATGCAATTTGTGCCTTTGTGGATTTTGCGCACTCCTGCCCATCAGATTTGGTAAGAGTGTGATTTATCAGTTAACTCAGCTAGTTAAAAAGCAAATTAAGAATTTGATACGTCACAGCTGCTACTGCTACTGTGATTGGCTAAAAGCTCAACATGGAGGCAGGTGCTACTTGGTGATTTACCCAATCAGCTCGAAGATTTGTACTTAGTGTCCCTCCTTTTTGCAAAAACTTTCTAAATGAGGAATTCCAGTTGGATACTGTGTACGATTCAAATTGATCTACATGTACTAATTTGGCTTATGCCATGTTATCCCACACTCTCCATTTTATGCCTCTCTCGAATTTCATATTTTCTGCTTTTTACTTGCTCCTTGCAACATCTTGAATATTCATATCTTGTCTATGATGGGCATGTAAAATTTTGCCGCAAGACAGAGCAGAGTCTTTGATAAGCTGATGTAAGAGTCCAAAAGGAACAGAAAGGAGAAACAGAGCAAAAGGGGGAAGGAGGGTACATTGATCCTAGAGATTTTTTGGGTGCTTTCTTGAACCAGTCAGATCTCACAGAAACTCAAACTTCAC